CCTGCTGAGATCCGAGCTATCTGTGCACGCAAGTAATTGGCCTCATTTCCAGGGAAAGGAGGAAAGCTCACAACTGGAGCATCCAGCCTACCAGTGAAGAACTTCTTGATTTTCCTGGCACAGACAATCTGGGCTGGTGTCACCGGGGGCAACTTCACCCAGGGTTTGCCTGGCTCATTGCAGACAAAGTAGACATATTTATTAGCCCCAGTCCCATTTTCTTCTTTTGGGATGACAGGTGGGGGCTTATAGGTGGACTTTGGTGGTTCATCTTCTTTTTCTTTCTCCTCATCTTCGTCTTTGACCTCATCCATCCCTCTCCCTCCTTCCTCAGTAACGTCCTCCTCTTCTGTTTCCTCCTCCGCTTCCCCCTCAAGGTACTGTACTTCAGCTATAATATAGTTCATCTCTAGGCCCAAAATTTTGCCCCAGAAGCGACATGTCTGGATTGGCTGAACACTAATTAGCTTTTTAAGGGCAAGGAATATGTGATAGGATTCATCTTTGCTCAAGCCAATTCCAGCCTGTTCGAAATAAAAGGCTGTTTCCATCACATTAGGTAGAGGAGTCTCTCCCTAGGAAAGAAGATCCAGAGTTAGAGCTGAAGAATGCTATAATTATCTATTTGAAAAATTAAACATGTTATCCACTGAACGTTATATTTCACTTTCCTACAGTGCCACTCATTGTCTCAAAGTGCTTTGCAGACATTCATTCACTACATATTTTGCTATCATTTAGAAAAATTAAAAATACCATTTTAAGAGAAAGAAGATAACACAGATAAACTGCAACTTTTAGAATACGGGATTTCAAAATTCAAACTCACTTCTAATTACTGCAAAATAAGGAAAGTCAGAATTCTTACACAGGATCTACAAAGGACTTCAGTGCTAGGGCATGCCAGCTATGCAAGAGGCCTTGATGCCCGCAAACCATGTCGCTGTGTTTCCTTGTGTTTGTGGCAGATGCGTTTGGGGAAAATATAATACATATTTTATATATTTAGACACCAATCCAGCAATATGTCTCTGGAGTGAATGTTGTTCTTTCAAACACCTTGGCATAAAGCTCCCTGCATTTTTTTAAATACTGGCCTCTGCTCTTACTGAAGTCCATAATGAGACTCCAGCTGGCTTTGCTGAAAGTAGAAATAGGCCAATAATGAAGATTTCATTAAATATTTCCATTTGCTTTATCACCTTTCCCTCGTTTCGTGGGGGTGGGTGATTATATCACACAGACAAAGATATTAGAAATTGTACGAGGCAGGGATTTTGGAAGAAGTAGCGCTAGTTTCATATGGACCTTCTTTGTCCTTCCGGGTTTCTTATATCAAAGCAGGTTAGACAGGAGTAAGAAAAATTCAAAAGTCCTTTCTGAAATACCCTACTTTTTTTCCTCTTTACCAATGTATACTGCTACTGTAGAATAAGTAATAAGCCGTGGAAAAGATGAAAGACTATCTCTTTATCTTGTTGGTATCTGTATTCTGCAATTCATTTGAATATATATTGGTAACTTCAAGTGAAAAATCAACATCTTGTTGATTAGTTTCCCTTGATTATTGTAAGAATGCTCTTAATTTTTCATTGGGTACAAATGCTTCTGCATATAAGCATATGAATATTGAAAAATCCCTTGTTTTAAGAAATGGCTTTTCAATTTTAGTAGTTCTTCATTATAAACATTTTATTTTTTAGTTGGAGAAGGACAGACTGGAACCACAGCTGGAGCTAGAAGGATGACAAAATTCTCCATTCTCTATTTTGCAGTAGCAGTTGTGCACAATATTCTCAAACTGGTATCCAGAATTATGGTCACTTTAGGTAAAGAAATATCCCTTTTAGATAAAGAAAAGAAATTTGGATACAATATTCCATGTTGAACTGGCATATGGGAGCTATTGTAAACTTTGCTTTCTGTTCATCATCTCTAGAACATCTATGGTTTTAAGGGCTCAGGATATTAGATTTACTACAGGAAAAAATCTCAACTAACTAACCAGATGGGTTTTCTTCTTCACAACTAGACATGGAACTGACTCAACTATGAAGTGGGTACATGGTACTATGGATACAATTATTTATATGATCGTGAGAGGCAATACTGCAAGGGAGATCGCAAATTCCTCCATTCCTCCTTTCCCCTCCTGCCATCTTCCCACCCATTCCCTGGAATGTATGATATCTTATTTTTCTCTGATAATAACTCACTATCTCTTCTTCTGGTTCTTCATCTTCTCCATTTGCCTTGAGGAACAAAGCTTTACACTTTTCTGCAGCTTCAAATGTTGGAAGATTCTCATGTTCATCTCGAAGAGTGTCCATTTTTTTCCGAAACTGAGCCCACTTCACATCCTTGCTGATATTCTCAATTATGTCTACTGCGTTTGCGGGCTGTTCATCCAGGATCTTTGTTAGCATATTAGCAAGATGATCATATCTGTCATACACATGTAAATTTTATTAGCCTACTACACAAAAATCTTAGATTATTATGTTTTTAATATCGAAAGTAGAAGCTAATCACCTGGAGCTTTGGAGAGCTCATTGGAATAGTTAAGATGAAAGGGGATCATGGAACATTATGGGAAATTAGACTTGAAACTAGCCTGATTATAATATACTTAAGAGTAGTCCCATCTTTGGTATATACTGCACCTGCCTCAGGAGCTGAAACTGAATTTAAACTTGCTCTTAATTAAATCAATTTCCCTTTCAACTCTATAAATTCCCTTACAAATTTTCATTCTGAAAAATGTTGGACACACACAAGTACCACACAGCGATGAACTATTGCGTTTATAACATATTCTCCCGTTCTGTACATACTTCTCTGGTATCCTCCCTTTCTTAACATAACCCTTTGCCCTTTTAACAACAGTACTTTTCTCTCCACTCATACTTCCTACCCTTTTCAATTGTGTCCCCTTTTCAGACTTACAAGTTCAGGCCAGATGTTGTGCTGCTCTTCAGTAAGTATGCTTTTGCATTCTCAATTGCCAGCATTCGGGATTTGGGATCGGGTATCTGATCATCATATGGACCGTAACCTGGCTGATAGAGACCGTAACCTGGTTCATGTGGCTGATAGGGGCCATGACCATGTTCATAGGCTTGATAGGGATCTTGTCCTACTGCATATGTCCGATAGGCACTTTTTGGTTCTTGTGTTTGGTAAGGGTCTGATCCTACTGCATATGACTGATACATGCTTTGCCTTGCTGCTTGTGCTTGATGAGAGTCTTGTCCCAGCGCGTCTCTCTGGCCGATGTTTTTTTCTCGCACCTGTAGCTTGTAAGAGGCTTCACCTGTAGCTTGTAAGAGGCTGCTTCTGCTCTGTTGGGGTCTGTGACTGATACGGTGCTTGTCCTGGTGTGTAAGTCTCGCCGACAGATCCTCTTTGGGCTGTGCTTGGTAGGGGTCTTTGTCGGCCGCACCTGGCTGATAAATGCTCTTTCTCAGTCCTTGCGGCTGATGAGACCCTCGCCTTACCCCCTGGGATTCACAGGAAGCCGGTCCCGCTTCCGACTGCTGAGGCTGATAGGGGTCTCATTCAGGCTCAAAGCCCTTAAAAGGCGGCTGCCCGGGGCCCTGCTGAGGCGGGTGGGAAGTGTGCGGCTCGGGCTAGTCGGGGCTGTGCCCGGGCCACAAGTGCTCCCTGAGGCCTCGCTCCGGCCCTTCCCGCGGGA